ACACGTACATGAAAAACGTATTTGACGACGCGACCGTCGTCAGATACGTTTTCAAGTAACGTAGCGTCGTGGCTGACAATTAAGCGACCCGTTGAGAAACCTTCGAATCAGTACGCTTTCTCGTTCTCAGATAACCAAAAAACGGCAACGATCATTCCTGGCGACGAGCTTTTCACGTTTTGGGCTTGGCACGTGAACGTATGCGTGGCACCCAAAAAACTACTAGTTTTCAAATAGTAAAAGCTTTTAATTTTTGACTTCGAACGGTGACATTTTTCGTGTCTGCACGACTTGGACAGCGACTGCGCAAAAACTTCGCAGTCATTAAAGCTTCAAATCAATACTTGGTCGACAACTTCACGTGCTCGAGCAATCGACGTGCGCACTAACAAGTTTTCGATTCATGCGCTTGGCAACTCCGCTAATCTGCGGTGTGTAAGGTGAAGGAAATTGCTGAAGGATTACATGACTGGCGCAAAATTGACGTTTTGTCGAATATTACTCGCCACCGTTGTCTCTCCGCAAGACTTTGACGCTACGACCAGTTTGATCTTGGCCTACTTGGCGTAGAGCGCGAACTTATCGACACTTCGTACTTGTTCGCCATCAAGTATACAGCTGTGTAGCAAGACTTGTCGTCGATGAAAGTCTCTAAGAATCTCTTGTCGCCAAAACCTGCCGTCTGCATGGAACCGCAAACGTCGCTATGTACAACATCAAGGAGGCCAGAATATCGCACAATTGTTGAGTCTTGAAATGAAGATCGGATTTGTTTTCTGACAGCACATCTGTCGCAAAGCTCCAGTTGTTCCCGGAAACGGTGTCGATCCCGATTACGAGCTTGTTCTTCACGACCACGTCGAGTTTATAATGACCACTGTGGCCGAGTCGACGGTGCCATAGGTTCAACTTTGACTTTAAAGTTGAGTTCAGCCAAACATCAGTAATAATACCCCTTCGCACACTGCAAGGCGTTTAAATTTCATCTAGATGTTGCCGCACCCGACCGCTTCGACAGTCCGATCTTCAGCCAGATGATCTTTGACTAACTTAATCTTTCGAAAGTTGGTCAAGACCGACTTCGAGTGTGTCATGTGCTGCGTCGCACGCAAGTCGATCAGCCGAATACTTGACGATTCTTGGCCCGATACGGACTCGGTGTTGACTACATAAAAACGGGTCATAAACAGATAGTCTCTGTCACCAGGAGTATAAAAAGGGATTTGTCGCGCGCATGACTCGCCTGTCCGTTGCGCCAAAATTCTCCAATTTCGTGTGTTCTTAAAGCCGCATCAAAAAATTTGCTATCTAATAACCGTGTGTGCCGCAGTGTCTGCACGCACCTTTAGATTTCCCCGAATCGTTCTTAATTCGCTTTATTTCCGTGACGAACGATATTTTGGACGCAGGCGCGCCGTCATTCTGCTCCTTCCGTTTGAGGCCTTCGAGGAGCTGAGGACTTATCGCTAGTTTTCAACTAATCTCGTCCGAACGCCTCCCAAGCTCAGATATAAGGAACTGAAACGAGTTGTTGAGGCTGCACAAGAGCGTGATGAAAAGATCTTCGTCGCTGACCGGTGCGCCGACCACGTCGAGCTGTCCGCAACTTGTTGACGTGCTCCAGCACATCTTCCACATATTTCTTGACTGCTTCACATAGATCAAGACGCAATTAGAGATTGTTTCCAAAAGCATTCTTCTCGGAGTGCGTCACAAACGTCGTCCATGCTATGAAAGCACCGAGCGACGATCGCCTCAGTGGGAGTTGTGGGTCTCTCATCGCCAAACAGATGATCGCAGAAGCCTTCCTCGTCTTCCACTAAAATTTCACTTTTTCCGAGGAAGTTAGACAGTACTCTGGCTTGACGCCGCCTCTCGTCAGGTCCCACAGGTTACTGTCTTCCAGCGCCAACAACATCTTGAACTTACACACGTGGAAGTTAGTCCCATAAAATCTGTCGATGTGGACGGACACCGACGAGGCGTTTACGGCAGATGTGAGGGATGATGGCGCAGATATAAATGGGCTTGGGCTCATAACCTGTAGCAGTTGGTGGTAGTTGGTTTGAGGTGAATTGCAAGTGAATGCCTGTAGGTCCTTAGATTGCAACTTCTTCTTGCTTCTTTAAGCCCAATGGATTCTTCGACTACAAAATAGTAATCGACATTGCGCGCATCACTCGGTAGATAGTCGCACACGAGCAATCAACTCTATACCATTACTCATTCGATAGTCGCGTATAAGTGACCACGATTAACCACGTTACTCGTGTGACTCGTGGATGGCCGCATTACTGATCGCCGGACCGTACCTTAAGTTTGTCGCTTGCTGGTCGAGGTGTTTCCTTTACACTACATGCGATTGTACAACATCATGACCAGGGTCTAAACGTTGTGCATAGATGACGAAAAAAAAAAAAAAAGTACTAGTAGTTGCGACTTTTAGCTAGCTTATTAATAATTTGTGTGGTACAAAGGATAAAGCACACAAAAAGACAAAGCTCGATTTTTGACCGTGACAAGGCGCCCCTCAGCAGCTTTCTTTTACTGGCCAAATTTCACGGAACCGGCGCTCCAAATAAGCATTAAGATAGAGAACATAAATCCAAGTGCCAATGTTTACGCTGATACTTTTAGCAATTACATAGACGATGTCTATCGGATCCTTAATTTGTACCTTAATGCGTGATACGATAACGGGATTTATTTAGCTTCTTTCGTTCGAAAAGTTACGTCCTATTCGTCAATCGATATGTAACGGGGCAGCCCATTACATAGATTTGACACTAAAAGGTGTCAATTGAAAGAATTGTCTAGCGTGACAATATCCTACCAATATTACCGAGATGGTAATGTTGAAGGAATATTATTCCCTTGTAGGATAATTTTTATGCGCTGCTCAAAGATTAGTTGATAAAAGACACATTAATCAAGGCTATCACCAACTGCTGCTAGACGCGTGTAAGGAGCGACAGCAGTTTGTCGTGATACGACAATGTAGATCAAATAGTTAGATAAAGAATAAAGTTATATTGATAGCCTTACTATATTAGATACAGTCCTCTTTTTACTCTTTACTTAAATCAGTTGTTGAGTAGATTTGCTACCTCTGCACGTGCTAGTGTTTGTGAAGTTTCGAGGCACCCCAAACAAAGGGTGCCCCGTTACACGATCAGCATAGTCGAGTGCCGGTTCCTTTTTTCGGCCGTGAGCAACGATTTATTATTTATAACAATGCTAGCATATCATTCTTACCAAAAAAATTGCTGAGTGATGATGCGCAACTGATGATATTTTTGGTTACAGGAAGAAGGACGTTTTTTTGTGTGGTCGAAATGTAATTTTAAAGATGAGTTGCAAGTCAATATCGGGTCAACACTATGTGGCTTCCGAATGGTCTTAGAGTCTTACATTGTTTTCTCTAGAAATGATAAAAGTCGCACACTTCTTAGTATTTTTACCATGCTTTGTCGCTCCTAGATAGTTAAATCGAAGCAGCATCAAAGTTAGTCATAATATGTCGTAAGAGGGATCGATGGGACAGGACCAAGGTTGCTGTTCGCGAGTACATTAGAATTACCAGTCAAAGTACTAAAACAATTTGCTTTATAAAGTCACGACGCGAATGCTTTTTAAGTACAAAAAAAGGACACCGTCAGGCCTTTATCTTAATCTGGTGCAGATTATCAGACATTTGTGCCGTGGGACTCGGCCTTACGGTGAAAGCTTGTGATAGGTGCTCCTCACAAGCAAATTCGTGATTTGCCCTTTAGTGTGTTAGTTTATCATTCGACATAGCACGAGTGATTAAAATGCTTGCTTGGTGTCGCAGATAATATTTAATTCGGTCACGCCGTACATATGGTTCACACACACCGATTCAGCTTGATTTTGGCCAGCTTGTTGCACTTCCTTCTTATTTCCAAACCGGTGCATAAAGATATTAAGCTCGATTTTACGCACATTATAAATTTTCTCATCTTGCGGCATGTTCCTGCTTTTTCGCATTGACTGGAATACATTACACTTGTAAAGAACAGTTAGCACTACATATTCTAAAATTTCCAGAAGCTGAACAAGTTCTGCATTCCACTTGCTTTTTCTCGCAAAGAAAGTTTAGTACTACAGATTCTAGATAATAATAGACGCTGAATAAGTTCCTGTAGTATACCAACTTTTCCCAAAGAATGCGGCTATATTATGGCTTCGGCCACAAGGACCTCATTTGCAGCAGCCATACTCTCATTTTCGGTATTTCGGCCAGCTAGAGCACGGTGGTCTCGAGCAAGATCCAGCTTGAAGCTACCATGAAGACCGTGTAGTTGACCGTTTTTTTTCACTGCGCCTTGCGTCCCATATCCAACTGCCGCTCGCCGGGTCAAGGTGTATTCGGCTAGACTCCACACTTACTGCAAGTATGACACATGGAGAAGGATACGTTCAATATCTGGTCCTCAGGTAATTATGGACGACCCCGTCGACAGTAGCCGAGAGTAATTGTCTGAGAGCGCGTAGACTGAGCGATACATACAACACGACGATTGCCTTACTATGTTCAGCCGAAACTAAATTATTGTGCCAAAGCGTAAGTTTGTGAAGCTCCAACGTTATTATGTCGCATTACGGCAACACCCCATCCGGAACGATGGAACGCAACCGCATTGTGACAGCTTTGCTCGTGAAGTGTGAACTTTTTTGCTTTACCAGCAAATTTCGTCAATCCAGAATACTATATTTTGGTGTCGTACAGAAATCGTATGTTAATTGATCCCAACATGTTAACACCAATGTATCGTTTGAGTGGTACCAACATGTCTAAAAAGACGAGAGCATCACGATTATCATCTATGCAAATTCCAATAAAGGTTTACGAATGGCAACGCTGACTGATCCGTCGACGCCTGGTGACAACATCGGTCGACCAAATGCAGCTCCTTAAAAAGCTTGTCGCATGTTACCATGTGGCTACCACACACGACGTGACTGGGAATCCGCCGTGTTCACATCATTATCCACCTGTATTTAATCAGAAACGTAAGGTTAAGTGCCATGTACGAGACAGTCACAAGCAGCAGTGACCATCGAATGAGGTCCTCTCGGGCCAGTCGTGAGCGCAAAGTCGGAAAAACGTCTGAGATGCTCATGGCCCCCAGAGACAGCCAGAAACTCCAAGTTCCATTCACCAGTCCTTCCAGCACGAAGTGCTGCCGGGAACTTGGGTAAACGAACACAAAGCCGTGCATTTGACCATAGTAATACCAGGGTCGGCGATGAATTACTGAGTGGAAAAGCCCGCTGAGCGCAATGTAGACAATCCCCGAGCATAGCACGAACCAGAAGAATCGCATCTGCATCACTTTCAAGATGTATGCTTGGTTCTCGTAGATCACGAATACAACAAAAGCCAAAAAAGCAACAACAGGAACCATATCGAGTCCTGAGAAAGCGTCGTCGTCAGAACTCACAGGGGTGGCTGGCACAAGAGATCCACGCGCGTCACGAATAATGTAGCCACTGCGTTCTTGGCACTGTAGCACAAACGCAGCAATTGTGGCGGCTACAGCTTTCGTGACCGTCTCAGCGTCTTGATTTTTTTGCTCAGGATACTTGTCCACAGCAGCAATAAAATCCCCCAAAGTGTCAGAAAAGAGTGGAGCACTCGCGTTGAGATTGAGAAAATTAGTATCGACGTGCGGATAGCGCTGAAAGTGACCAGACGCCCGTCCTGGAATCCATAGCAACGACGGCGTTGATGACACCAGGTGCTACACCACACATTTCCCGTTAGTACATATCAAGCAACACGGTCAAGCAGCAGCTTCACGTCTGTTGTCTTACATAATCAAGCATTGCAGGCCATACATGGACGTCCACATGTATAACGGAAATTTGTGACGCAACCAATGTCTTAGTGGCGAGCTTGACGGCTGCTCCGACCAAGTTCTCATGGTGCATGCAAGCCTTCTGAGCTGCACTAAGTATTTCCGTCGCCTTCACCTCCTCCCTTTGATCATTTTCCAGGTCTTCTTCATCGTCAATCTCGTTGTAGCATGCTGAGGCTGGTGTAAAGTGGAGCAAGAGAGGCGTCACTCGAGACTTCGCAAGCAGATAGCGCTCATACTTAGCCCATACGACCACCGGATCACTAGAATCGTGCAGTGTAAGAAGCGACGATGGATCTGTAAATCCATGAGAACCGTCAGTTAACGGAGGGGGTGAGGAAAAGGTGACTCCACAGAGGCTGTACAGAACAGCGATCCCTATCCATCCGATAGGGCGGATGCGCATGATTCGCTGACCCACTTTCCAGGGTTCGAACTGAATTAGTACCGATCCACAGTATGCAAGTTTTGCAGAGCTGATTGTGATCGGATCTGCGAAATGTCGACTCGGTTACATTAACCGGTTTCGATGCGGTTTGCACTAAAATTATGAGTCGGACCAGTTGACAGTTGACGTGAAGCTTATGCGCAGTGACGGCCTGCGAGGTCTTGCTCAAGCCTTTAAACGAGATCTTTTAATCTACTCATATCATCAATCGTTGATCAAGCGCTTCACTGTACTTATGCGCGGAACCTGTTGATGCCATTGTAAACCGTCTAGATCTTTCTAAAAGTCATTGTCTCCGGCAACAGAGAATAACATAAACGGTGGACAATGCTGTCGGTCACATTCGACCCAGCACGGCGTGTACCCGCCATGTGACGTCTTTTAGATGGCGTTAAGTCTGGATCAGTTTGCCTCCAGCACTGTTGAGGAGTATGATACAGAACTGTTGTTTTTTTAATATTTTGAATTAGACTCCGAGTGAAGATCCTATTGATGTGATTAATGATTCGTTTAGTAACTTTGCGTTAATCATCGGTGTTCCCTGTTCGTGGTCGTACAACCAAACCATGATCTTATCGTAACCATTACATGACTTTGACTATTGCTGTAACATCACTTTTTTCAAAGAGCTCACACATAAGCATCTGAATTTTATGTTTTACCCTCGTAAATTCACCGCCACTTAAGACACTAGATACCCGCAGTCGTAGCGTTCAAGCGAAAGTAGGCTTCTCAGTCGCTCACAGTGAGTTTTGTTCCTAACCACTGCCTTTCTGTTCTGCCTGCAACGGTCTCGATCATTTGATTTTTTGGCAAGATTGAGCAAACCGAATTGAGACCCGATTCGATTAGTTCTAGATTTGGGTTTTAAGTAGCTCTTAAGATCGAGCGAGGAGGTAAGGCCGGATACAATAATCGTCCATACAATTCTTCTGCACTTGGAATCATGAACATGTATCTACATGCTTGCATCGGAGTAACAAAGCGGTCAATTATGTGTTTGTACCTTACTATCAGCACTTGGCCGAGTTGTAACGGAGTGCCTCCGTTACATGATAGTTTACACAAGGTAAAAATTAAGTACGCATATTCTGTCAGGACAAACGGAATATTTTCACAATATTGGCTAAATGATAATTTCGTACTGCAAAAGTAGTGCACTGATCATTTGTTGATGTAAATTAATGATATCAAGCAATAAAGCCGAGCCACGACAGAAGAGTGTAATTGGTGGCGAGCTGATAGTTACAATACATGTTTGTATTTTATGCATAGTCAGATGAGGACTAAAAAGGATTTATTTACTGGAGATTAACTATACTATATACAGTTCTACTTTTACTACCTTTCTCATGTTGAACCTTCTCTCTGCGCGACACGTGTACGTCTCGAGGCACAACCTTACTCTGTGTTCAGTGTAAGTAGCTTGAGCTACTAGAGTACACGCGAACGGTGCCCCGTTTCACCTGTTTGCACTTTGTAGTCCGTTCAACGACTATGAACATGCTGGATGATGAAGCGGATGAATTTCGCTTAACGCACGAAAGCTACTCTAATTTAGTTAAGTCGAATGGGATGCTGTCCAACGTTTGAGCTCGAATAGGGCAAAAATACAGTGGGCGCAATGCTGTCCACTCTGGGTCCAGATGGGCAACACGTTACCATTGTAACGGGGTGAGTCTGTTTTATGTAAACAACCTTGAAACTTGTTAATTTATGTAATACCATAAAGGTTAAACTGTTCGTGAATATCACCATAAGGGGTAATATTCAAGAATCTTAAAAGTGTTCAGAAACAATGACTGCCTGGCTAATATGGTTCATCATGCCAGCCAGCCATAGCGGTCCAACCAACGATGAACGCGCGTAACGAGTGGTGAGCAAGAATTAAGTCCATATTTTTGTAAATATTTTTGATAAGTTAGTACTAAACATCGGTTAAAGATTAGGACCTTATCCTTTAATTTGTTAAAGTTTTACTTTTACCAGCAACTGGCCAGCTAGTACATGCCCTTCCATCCTCTGCGTAGTTTACAGAGGTAATGAGGTGCCAATCACGCTGCTGTGGTGATAGTAGCTACACACTATTTGTCCATAGTGTTCTTCGGTGTTCCGTTACACCTATTAGCACTTTGTAGTCCGTCCAAGGGCCACAAACCCGATCAACATAAAATTTTTGGACATACAAGGCGACAAAACCTTTCACGGCCTCAGTAAACTTTACTTCAATGTGAGGTATGCAGAATGGAGTGCTATCGAGCGATCGATTTCGACCGTTGGCGAAGAAGCTTTAGGTATCTGCTATTCGCAAGGGATGATGACCAGCAGCAATCCGTATTTGCAACTTTCTTACAAGGAGAACTTGACGCTTCGTGAGCTGAAGTGATCCTGCTACATCAGCACGGTGACCAGCAGACTGAACTGCTGAGACGGAAACAGTTTCATTTTGCTACCGCAGCGTCGACACATGAGCGTCGACGCACGACTCTATGGTTGAAAGTCTCTTAGTACCGGGGAGTCGAGAAAGACTACCTTTTGAGATGGTTTTTCGAAGTAGAATATGCCGTAAAGGCTTGCCGCATCGATGATGATGAATACAAGTCGCACTAGATAAATTGAATTTGTCAGGACGTGCCAAAACCTGGACCCTAAATCTTAATATTACAAAATCCAAACGTTTTCGGATCGTTGGCGGAATTTAGGACTGCTCAGCCAAACGTTTGAGCCGCCAAGAGCTGATCTCAGACCTTTTTTAAAGCTCCTGAAGATCGAACAAGGCAAGCGTGGCGTCCACGCTTATTCTCAGCACGTTCATTTTCTTGCAAAATGTATGGTAGCAAAGCTGAAAGTGAATGTGTGTTAATCACGCTATTAATTAAAGAGCCTAGCAGATGGTTCAGTGAGGAAGCACCGTTTTCGCATCGAGTTGATGCCGCTTTACGAAGCGAATTTAACTGCGGTGCAAGAGTACTTTAGTTAGAGACAAGCTTACCGTAGATTGACCCCTTATCGTCCTTTAGAAAGAGTAGAGGCGAAGTTATAGAACCAATGGATCTCTATAGTTTTGAAGCGGGAGACCTTGCCCTTCAAACACTGAGCAACTGCTAAAGCACAATCGCTGTCAGAAGTTAGGGCACTACGCTTACAAGTGTAGTGCTTCACGCCGAGGGTCTCGAAACAGAATGCGAAGTGATCGACCGTCTGACAAGAAGGGCAAGAGACGCAGATCCTACGCTGTTGCAAAGTCACAACAGCATCGCGGAACGTAAAAACGGTCAGGGTCAGTTGGGGCGGATATACCTACTGATTCAAAACCTCAATAGAATTTTTGGATCGAATGATATAAGTTGCAATTGACTCACAATTCTTGTGTGACTCCTCACTTGGTGATGAGGGACCCCTCTTCATAATTGTTATAGAAGCGGCAAAATCATTTTCACATCGTGCCTTAGTTGACTGTGGGGCGTCAAAATACTTTTTTTACGCCAGTCGCTAAAGGATCGTTAACTCAAGTTATTTGAGCGCAGTATTCCTTCTACGAGAAAATGGTGCACCTTGCAACAGGCACATTAATAGCAGTGATAAAACCTGCAGTGGGATCTTACTACACGTTTCAAGATTCGCATTACAGTGACTTCATGTTACTTAATGTAGATTAAAATAAAACGATGTCATCCTAGGATTACACTGGATTAGAAATATATTCCCAGGTTCAGCTGGCAGCATCGGACCGTGAAAATACCCATCAACTATTCGTAAATGGCCGTAAATGGCCATATGATGAAAGTCTCGGAGCGGCCACAAGCGTGTGGACGTACTGCACTTGAAAGCGATGACCTCATTTGCGGTACGGTCGTTCGTAAAATTGCACAAGATCACAGTGAGAAAACCCAATCACACTGTGGAGGAAGTTGCTGGTGGCTGTGCAGATGTACAGGCAGTGCCAAAGTTCCACCACTCAAACAAGTCAAATGCATAGGACATTGAAGTTCAACTAGCCGGCGGGTATCAACGAAGTATGAACCGGTTGCCCACACAGGGCAAAGCGATGATCCAAGGTCGACTGGAGAATAGGATATTGAGTACTTAGATGTGGTAGCACGAGAGCAGCTATAAGACGTCGAGGAAATAAGCCCCAGCTTACTTGAGAATAAAATTTCTCAAGCAAATGTCGATAAGGTAATGATTACTTATTAACCTGATGAATTGAGTCCCCAGCAGCCTGTGGTAATAGTTCCCTAGGTATAAACTGAGACATTTATATCTTGACAAATGACGGGTCAATTGTATGTGCTTATGCACTTAACCTGATCGTGCACCCTTAGTTGAAATCGGATATCACTTAGTTGCCATTAGCAAGAACCAAAACGTTTTTGTGGGATCTTCATCGTGGTAAGTTCAATCAGAACTTTGTCCTTGTCACTGAAGAAGATACTTAACTGACATTCGGTCATCAGTGGTATTTGTCGAGAACGACCAGGTTTTCAGCAGCTCATCGATGGTAGTAAGCGTTTTGATGAGAATACTTAGCTATAACAATACACGTCTTAATATTGGAAGTGTGGTTAAGTCTCTATCGAATTTTGGGACGTGGAATGGTGACCACCCAGTTGAGACGCCATTAAGTGGCAGAAGCTGAGACTATGTGATCTAGCAATATAATAGGAGATGGAGGATGACCCTAAATAGGATTGGCTAATCGAATTAACGGTACAAAGGTTTCGAAGACGGGACGATAACTGAGACAAGACAACAAACCGGAAAGATTTAAATGGAGAGATCTGGGACAAGACAACAAGCAGACAGATTTCATTGAAGTGATCTGAGACAAGACTTCTCTGGAGCGATATGGGACAAGACAGCGGAACGAGGTCTTACAACTCGTCTGAACGTTGGTCAAGATTAAGTATGCGTATATTGTGCAGACGAAGTCCAGGTCGCAGATCGACAAGCTGTGG